TTCTGTCCCTTTCTTTATGTTACTGCCTAACAAAGTTTTTATGACTTGAGGCAAGTTTTTCTTTGTTAGTAAGTTTAGTACTTTTAGATTAGTAACAATTTTTATTTTTTTTATCTTGAGACTAGATGTTAACTATTTGTAGCTTAGTGTTAATTAGGTTATAAAGAACCTAAGATCTTGATAAGGCTCAAAGTCACCTTTATTGATCTAAGGATAATATCTTCTTCAAGAAGAGTTACTGTGGGGAGAAAACTAGCTTCTGTAACAGATCACATCTAGGCACCAATTGACAGCTGAGTGAATTCAAAATTGTAAAAGGAGGGATATATTTATAGTTTACTTTTAGGACTTTTTATAATTTGTATCTATATATCATTTTGATATTTCTCTGAATAAATAATAGATAAGATCGCTCAAGATAAAAAAATAATAATAATAATAATAATAAGTAATTTTACTTCTAAATATAATTAAAGTAATAAAATTAAATCTAGTATCTAATCAAAATTGAGTAATATTACACAAGTTATATTCTAGTTATCATGTTTATTAATTGAAGTCTTGATATAATAGTTATTATTATAATTGTAATAATTTATCATATCTACTAGATTTCATAAATAATATTTACTTAGGTCTAGTGATCTAGTATAGTAATTAAGTTGTCAGACTGCTATGCAATAGATCTGAAGTTCAAATTCTACTATTGATAAATTTGAATAATTTCTCAGACCTGTGATATATTACAGTAAACTCTGTTCATTTCTGAAGGCATACCTTTGTAAATTAAGTTGTACCAAATTAATCAGAACTTGGAAGTGTAGTATAATATTATATGAATAAATCTTGATAAAATATATGAGCAAGAGATCTATATAGTAGAAATCTCAAGTTAGTGAAGTAGTACAGCCTTCTAACAGGACTATATTAGCTAAAGTCTGATCTAAGAAGAAAACTCAGTCTAATAAAGGTAGAAAGTTTTAAGATTTCTGAGCAAAAAGTAACTAAGACTAGCTAAATACTAGAAAAAGACTAAGTTAACTAACTAGTAGAGGACTATAGTAGAATTTGCATGAAAAAATTCTGTGTCAGATTTTGTTGATCATCTATATCGGGATGTACAAATTTGTATTTATGCATATATATATAACAGTTCATGCATATTAATTTATACAGTAATAAAATACTGTATGTTATGTACGTACATACGTACATGTATAATTTCATTGCCGTAGCAATATAAAGAAAGTTTGATGTTTCTTACATTGTTCCTAGCATGATATTATCAAGACCTTCAATAGAGTCAAAAATTTATTAGTAGAAAGCTAACGGTTTAATTAAATAAAATCAAAATACTTATTTTTTTCATACGATTATATACAGTACAGTATTTTGAATATTAAGCAATACACTTTTTCTATATTGTTTCACTATCATGTAACTTTTGAAGCAGTGAATCTGAAAATTCAAACTGCTACAAAAGTTATCTTTACCTATTGCATGATTATTTATATGCAATAAAATGCTAAATATAAATACAATAAAATATATTAGCTTATTCTTTAGCGTTTCATTTAGTAGAGAAGCATATTTGAAGGTAAAATCACATAATAAAATTTGAAAGTTTGACGGATCAGGCTAGGTATACGAGTAAGTTAATTAATATTATTAATTAAGGTAAATGTTTAATAGTATGTATAATAGCAATTAAAAGTTTAATACATAACATATAATAGCTTACCTCCTGATTACTTAAATATGATGTAATACTGTAATATGATATAAAAATAAAAGTTAACATCAAAAACATCAAGGTTTTTTTTTTCTTCACAAAAAAAAAAATTGATCTAATAGTAGTTATTTTTAACATATCTTATATATACAAAAGTGGTTATAGGAGTAAGTACGTATGAGGTTATATAATTAAAGAAAAATTGTGTTTTTCATAGAACTTTTTTTCTTAACCAAAATTATCCTGATAGCAGTTATTACCAACGTGTCTTGCATATGCAAAGTGTTACAGGATTAATTTATACAGTTAAAGAACTTTTGATTTTTTCACAAAAGATTTTTTTTAACAAAAGATTGTCTTGATAGCATTATTATCACGTATCTTGTATGTATGAGAGTAGTTACAGAAGTAATTGCAGTTGAATAAAATATTAAATCAGTACGATTAAGAGAATAATGTATATGTTTTTGAGTTAGTTTTTTAGTTACTGGTTAATTAATAATGTAATACTCATCATGTTATTTGGTGCTTCGTAGTTATAACTTTAGATGTTATAGAACCATTATTTAATGCTAAAAGTACTTTAAAGCAATCAGGACTGCTACCTGAAAATATTGCAGCCTTACTTCCTTCAAATTATAATTATAAAATCTTAGAAATTTAGCAACTTCCTGATTATATCACAGTCGAAAAATTTTTGATTTATCAATTTGAAGCTGATTTCTTCGTAAATGTCGATAGTATTAAAAATACACAAAAGTGGTTTATGGAATTTGAAGAGGTATCCAAGACAACAATACCTGAAACAAAAGGCTTTCAAATTCAAGGGCAAAAGGTTATTCTTCGTGAATTGCGTCATTGTATACATAGTGATAAAGTAAGGCAAAAACAGGAAAATTCTCTATTAAAAAAGCTATATTCATTATAGGCCAGAAATATAGGGTGTATAGCTACAATTCATCTTTGTCTCGAATATCAGAATCTTCAAACTACACATTCACTCGAAGTTAATATTAAATTCGTCCATAATCATGTCATTCATTCTGCAAAATCTCTTAGTTTCAGATGCATTAAAAATGATGTTTGTAATAAATATCTTGAACTTTTTGCCAATAGTCATTCACTAGCAACAGCTTTGCGTATTTATGAGGATAGTCTTTATTTACAAGCAAATAATGAGGAGGAACTTACAAAATTATTAGCTGATCGTGAACAAAATCCTGATTATAGATATATTTTACATTTATTTGAACAATACTGTAATAAGCATCTCGGAGGTCGAAATGGTGTATTAATGTTTCAATATCTTAGAGATGAGATTAATAATTATAACAACTCAGAACAGGGACGTGCTGCACTTCAAGAGTATGATTTATAACTAGAAAAGGCTTATATGCTTTGTATAGTGACCAATTTAATGAGTCATATTCATGAAAAAATCTGCTAGGCAAGTGAAATTTATTACGTTAATATATCAGCATCTTTTGAACCTTTAAACACATTAGTTACTTTATTATATACAAGTTGTATGGCAGGAGTATTACCCCTTAGTATCATTATAACATCAGATAAATTAGAAATAACTCTTAAAAAGGGAATAGATCTCTTAAAAGAACTCCTCCTACTGTATGCTTTCTTTGGATGTGGGCCAAATATTGGTCCTCTAATTTTCCTTACTGATGATTCATATGCAGAGCGGAATGTATTAGAAAGTTGCTGGTTACAATCAAAAAAATTATTGTGTATATTCCATGTCCTCTAAGCGTTTTGGCATTGGTTATATAATACCAAACATAACATAAATAAAGAACATAGAGTATCAATAATGAATATTATGAAACAAATATTATATGTACAGACGGAAGTTGAAATGGAAATTTTTTATCATAAATTAAAAATCAATTATTATAATTCATATCTGCAATTACAGAGACATGTTGAGTTTCTTTGGAGCTGACAGCAACTTTGGGCACTATCATTTTGTTATAGACTTCCTTTACATGGAAACAATACAAATAATTACATAGAATATAGCTTTAGGTCATTAAAGAATATTGTATTTTCATGTACTCAAGCATACAATTGTATACAAGTATTCTAGTTTCTTACTACTATCATAGAACGCTTTTATGAACGTCAATTACTTGAAATTGCCTATTATCATCCTGGTCATCTTAGGATCGCCAAGTGATTTTTATGCCCTGAGTGGGATTCTATTAATGCATCAGAAATTCAACAAACTGGAACATTTACTGAATATCTAGTTCCAAGTCAAAAAAAAGGTAATAACCTATTTTATATTGTTAATACTAAACTTTGTATATGTACATATGTCATTAGGTTATCTGAAGCGCTATGCAAGCATCAGAGAGCTGTAGCTGCCAAATATTGTATTGGGTCACTAAATTTTTTTCAGTTATTAACACCTTATGACTGTGCCTGTTTCGCATATATTGCGTGTGGTAAGTGCTAAGGATTTTAATTAAATTAATCATTAAAATATTTCATAACTATATTTTATTATTTTAAGGTCTTAATGTAGTTAATTCCTTTTATGCATTATTGTATGCCCAAACAAATAACCAATATGAACACTGCAAAAATAGTATTGCTCTAAATAGTATATCTCAAGAAATCAAAGAAATTCAAGGATCACAAGAACCTGAGGTTAATAATAAAATTCAAGAATTACAAGAACTTGACGTTGATAATGAAATTCAAGAATCACAAGAACTTGACGTTGATAATAAAATTCAAGAGCTACAACAACTTGACGTTGACAATGAAATTCAAGAATCACAAGAACTTAATGTTGAAGAAGTTATTGTAACAGAGTTTGTATATCACATTTTTCATTATGTTTTTTATAGGCTTCTAAAATCTTTTTTTTTTAGACATCATTTGGCTTTTTTCAATTCTTTTATTGAGACAATCAAGTATGATTATGAAAACTGTAGACCACAGCTTCAGAAAGCCCTTGAAAAATTTGCTGAATGGTACAATGCCGCAAAAACTAAATCTATTTCAGCTTTAACAGCTTTTCTATATGACATAAATCGCAATACTGATCCTCTTGTATGTATAAGGAGTGGTGCAAAAATTTGCATACAAGTTGAATCAGTAAAGCACAGGAAAACTATTAAGGGCAAAGAGAATAATCCTCATGTAATTCCAGCATGTAAAGTTCGAGTGGTTGGTAAAAAAGCACACAGCCTTAGTAAAAACATTAATAAGAATTTGTTACATTAAATAATTTACATGTAATTAGTATCAGTTTCATTCAAAGCTGTGCTTAATTTCAAAATTATTTAATTGCGTTATGCTATTATACAATATGTTTCGAAAAGTTTATATCTTTAAGCACATTTTAATATAGATGTTATAAAAGAAAAAAAAGAGGATAGGGAAAATTAGCTGCTTAACTCAAAGTTGTAAATTTAAGTCAAAGTTTTATAAAGTATAGAAATGCTATCTACAATATGAGTTAATATTGATAATTACAATTAATATATTTTATATTAATTATTTTTATTTTATGTATTTTTTTTTTGAATTCATCTCATTAAATTTTGATTAACTATCTCTAAGATGCATTACAATTGTTTATGATAAAAGGTTCTAATACTACATAAGACTTGTTATAAAATATACAATTCCTTCTCATAGATATTTCAGCTTATTGCATGTAAGTATTCGTGTAAAACATGTGAAATAAATTAGACAATATTAAATTGGTCGATCCAAATAAAAATTCTATTAGATCTGTAAAATAACGAATTGCTGAATTAGAAATTAACTTGGATACAGCATAAATTAAATCTTAGAGTGCATTACTTTTATATAGAGGAACCGTGAAATAATAGAGGTTCCATAGTATGTTAAATTATATGAAACTACAGTAAATTTTGCATAAATAAGTTTTTTTTTTTTAAAGTTTGGTTGTTAATATAACATGTAACCGATCTAGTTAAAATTTGATTAATACTAAAGATAAGTTTTTAATTTTATTTAGTTAAAAAGCACTAAAGTTATACCAAAACTAACTTAATGATTTCAACTAGATTAAATATCTTACAATGATTAATGTTGTGGAAGATAATCCAGACGATTTAATAGGTGGTGAAAGCTTTCTTATAAACTACAATGATTAATGTTGTAGAAGATAATCTTGATGATTTAATAGGTGGTGAAAGCTTTCTTGTAAATTGTGACGTTAATATCTTCATATTTAATTAATTTTATAGAATGCATAGAAATGCATAAAACTGTTACATGAATATGCACAGATACAAATTTATGCATCCTGATATAGATGATAAACAAAACCTGGCACAGAATTTTTTCATGCGTAGAATTTAGAGTTATATGAATATTTACAAAAGTCTAAACTAGATAAATTTCTAAAATAGATATTAACTACTCTAATAGATTTGCTTCAAGGTTAACTAGCTTTACAATACTAGCAATACATCTAATATAATATATTTTAAGAGGATCTAAGCTATTCTGAATAAATAGATCTGTAACAAGCTAGCTAGCTTAAGTGGTTAGATGTTGTAATGATGTTAGATTAGATTTGTATAAATTAATAAACAGAGTATTTAAATAGATAACTCATATACAGATTACAAATATAGTAGTATAGTGTAAAACTAATTAGATAGCCTAACATCTGTGTAGCAAATTACTTAAAATAGATAATGACTAAAATTGTATATATAGCTTGTTATATACTTTTCATGTAATTACAAACAGTAGGAATTATCAATGTATAGATAGACTGGCAAATTGTTCAGATATTAGTAGTATTATAGAATCTGTTTTAGTTAAATAATCTAACTGATTATAAAAAAGAATTATAATTAGTTAGGTCTGGCAATCTTAGTGTAGTGGTTAGGTTGCTAGACTGCCATACAAGAGATCTGGGGTTCAAATTCTATTATCAATGAATTTGAATAATTACTCAAACCTTTGTACTCAACTTATGGTAAACTCTGCTCATTTCTGGGGGTTACAACCCTGTAAATCACATTGCACTAATATCAATCAGATATTAAAAGTATGATGTAATATTCAAGTTATATTATACGAATAAATTTAATAGGATCTATAAACAGGAGACCTGCATGGAAGAAATTCTGAGTTTGGTGAAGTAGTATAGATTTCAATGATCAAGCTAGTTAATACCTGATCTAGTAAAAAATCTAAGTATGAAGGATATGAGATCGATAGGTACAAGTAAGTTTACTATGTAATGCAATCTAGTGCCTTGCATTAGTAGCAACACTAACTTGGCTTAGCAGCTAACTAGATTGAGAGAATCTACTTCATGAAACATCCAACTAGAACTTGAAGGACTATATCTAATAAATGGCTATAGCAGGAACTGGGTTCATACAAATATCAACAAGGGTCTAGGCCAGGTAAATCTGTGAAATAGGCACATGACCACTCTGATAGGAATTACTTCTGAGGTTAGCTAGAGCTCTGTAGCTCACAATATATTAGGCAATATGTACTTCGAAGAAGATCTAAGCTATGCAGTAAATGTATTTGTGTATAAGTCAACTGGCATAAGTAGTCAGATATAGTGGTGACATTAGTTTAAAATAGGGAGAAAGGGTTAATAATCAAAGTGTTTAAATAGATAATTCACAGGCAGGTTGTAGGTATAGTAGTATAGTATAGAACCAACAGATGATCGATTATCTATATAGCAGTCTACTTAAATTAGATAATGACTAAAGTTGTATATGTAGCTTGTTGTACACTCATTATGTAACTATAAAATCTTAGGAAACTATTTATGTAATAGTTCTGTAATAACAAACTAATAAAATCTAATTAGCTAAAAGTAGCCTTAATAAAATAAAAGAATTATAATTAGTTATAATTTTATTAATAGTTTTAATTACAATATTTACTATTACTACAATTCTTTGTTTCTCAATAACAAATATAGTATCTTCTAATATAATATTTGTAGTTAATCTTTTAACATATTCATTAAATTCTGCAGTAAGTTGTTGTTTGATAATATATATAGCAAAATATATAGCAATAAAAATCAAATAAATAGAAATTTTTTTAGTAAATAATATTAGGCATAGGGATATTACAGTCTTGTAAGGACCATGGTCTGAACTGGTCTTTTGAACTAGTCTAACTAGTTTTCAGTCCTAAATAGAGGACCGGTCTAGACCAGTTCAAAGCTTATAGAATGATCTCATTAGCTACAAAAAAAAAAAAATTGCCAATGACCGTATCTATAAGTTTCTGATATTGCAAATTCAGTAACTTATTGATTTATTGATTTTTGATTTGATAACTTATCAATTTGGTCATTGGAAATTTTTTCAATTATCTCAGGATTTATAGTGATAGCTGTAAGCAGTATTCAAAATCTGGAACTGGGCTACTGTTTCACCTTCTATTTAGTATTTTTAGAGTCAATTTTTGGGTATTCTCTAATATAAAAAATTTTAAATTTTCAGCTTTTAGCTATTCTCACTCACAAATTTGTGTTTTTTATAAGAATACTAATTTCAAACACTGGCTGTAAGGTCTTTTTTATATGCAGCAATTATTAAAGCCACAAAGCTTATTTTGAAAACCAGCTAATATACTAGTTTATGGACTGATCCTAGACCACAGTTGAGTCTGCGGTCCTCTGCTAGGACCGGTCTTTAGGACCAAGACTGAGCTGGGACAGACTGTAATATCTCTAATTAGGCATACAAAGACTAAAAATAGTGCTATTTTTAAAATATTAATTAAAGATATCTATTAATAGAAAAAAAGATTATTAGTACAAATATATAAGTATAGAATAATCTAGCAAATATACAACTAAAAATTAACTTTAATTCATATAAAAAAAGTAAAATAAATAAGGTTTATTTTGTTATTCTTAGTAGAACTATTTTTTTTTTTTTTTCCTTAAGCAGTCATACTAATACTTTATTAGACTTCTTAAAAACTATACATTTTTCAGAAGATTTAACCTAATTTTCTAAGCTTA